ATGGACATGGGACAAGCAGCTAAGCCGATGTAATCTAATCTGCAGCAGCAACAAGACTAGTGATATCTGGCAATTTTCAAATATTTCTCAACGAATTTTGAAGAGAAGTTATAAGACGTTAGTCATGTATTGTGACTACGAGTATATAGATGGTCCACATATATATATATATTTTTTCATATTCGATACACATTCGGATCTACTCCATTTACTACCACAACTCTTTCTCATTTTTCAGTGCTCTACCTATTCATATCTACATAGACACACAAGAAGTACTGCTCTTATAGGTTTCTTGTCTAGGATTCTAGCGCTCGCATTTACAGTCATATGCCTCCAAGAAAATATTGTACTCAATCTGTTTTTTAAACCGCGTAAGAGGCTTCTCCAAATCAAGTGACCTCTTCTAATCTGAAGAAAGTAATCCCTACCCAGCACACCCTCATAAAATCATAAAAGGAAGGCAAAGATGAGAGGCGGAAGAAATGTGAACCCCGTGCAAATCGAAAAAGTTTTCGCTTAGGCCTTATCCACACATTAAAAACTTGGCAGCTTGTTACGCTCCGAGTCAAGAGTAGATGGGATGGGGGAACCGAACCCTCTTCCAAATTAAATCCACAAACTGTAGACAAAATGCAATAAAATAAATTGCAACAATATCCGCAGTAACCGAAGCAAAGAACAAGCCTTAACAAAATAAAAGTTCCTTATAAATGATGTAGCAAAGGTGGTGCCCTTTTTTCGGTGGGTTGTTTTTGGAGTGAATGTAATATAAATTTCTCAAGGAGCTGCAGGCTGCGAGTATACCCAGCCAAATGAAAGGTGACAGCCTGAAGAGGGGCAGAGAGAGGGGCAATGACTATGGCTAAGCAATAGTTCAGGAAAAATAAGTTGAAAACGAGTGAGAAAAACTTAAGTGCCCGTTAAATTTCCCAACGGACTAATGATAAAAGTTACGCGACTACAGCTGCCTGCCTCTACGCCTCTCCAGGGCTACCTTTCTACACTGAACCTCCGCTGGAATCCTTTCCGCTCCGGAATCCTTCCCGGACACCTTGCACCATTCCTCTCCTGGCTTGTCGGATTTGTTTGCTCTTTAACCCTTTCCATTTGCCGCTTGTTCATTGTTTTTTCCCCTTCTTTATTTTTATTTTTTGTTGTTCTTCTTTCTGGCCAGGAGTAGCGGTAAATACATTGCGGCATTCAAGTTAATTTACCACAAGAAAGGAGCCAGAAAGGAGTGGAAAAGGACATGGCCAGAGGGGAACAGGAGCAGGAGCAGTTGCCGGAGCCAGAGCCACGGGAAAGAAAAGCTGAGGAGAAAAAAAAATTAAATGAAAATTATGTTGAACCAGGCCAGGGGATCGTAATTAGTTTACTGCCATTTAACTTGCTACATTAGTTGCAATTAAGAAGTAAATATTGTTCATTTAATGTGTAATTCATTTGAATTTTATAAACTGTTTGCGGCTATCGCTTTATGTGTGGACTTCTGGAGACGAAAGATCTTGTCTGCTACGAACATTTTATTGCAGCTCTAAATTATTTCAATGGAGGAAAAATAGCTGTTACATTACGTATTTATTTAGGTCTTGAATTTAAGCAGCTTTTCTTTACCTTCTCAGACATTAATATAGGAATTTCCTTCCTATCTAAGGATTTCCGACTAATTTTCTAGGTATTTTAAGCATCCTTTACTTATCTAGCACTTATGTATCTCTCAAGTGCTGTTAACACTTCCCAACTTCCATAACTAATCCTTCATATTTTTAACATCAGTTTACATTTTGCAGCTTAAATGTGTAAGTGTCCTCTGTAAATTCTCGACACTACAAAAATCTCTAAAATTCATTGAAATATATTTCAAGTGTTTTTGCCAATTTAATTGATGCAAATTGCTGTTGAACTTTCCGCTTAAATATTTTACTTTTTATGTCTCAGTGTTTGCCCTGGCGCATGGTGTTGATTGTGCCTTTTTGATTTTTGTTTGTTATGTGCTTTGCATAATTTAACACTTTGCCTTAAAAACAATCAAATTGTCAAGTGTCAAAAGGTTCGTGCTCGAGCAGAGCAGAGCCATGGCCATAGTCAGGGCTTTTCCCCTGCGTGTTTGTTGGAAAATGTGAATAAAAATGCATTAAATATGTACATAGTTGTAATTTGCACACTCACACACTCAAAGTGTTGGGTAGGGATGCGGATCCACACCCTTAAGTGGATCCTTGTGTGCAATATTTTGCATTTGGCTGCCAGTTTTTCCGGTTTACTCCGACCACAAAGTGTTGGCCATTAACCGTAGAGCAGTCTGCTCCCTGACCTGCCTGACCCACTGACAGCCAGATAGACAGTCAGACAGGCAGCCAGGCAGGCAGGCAGGCAGGCAGGCAGGCAGAAAGAGACTGAGAGAGACGTGGGCTGACGCGTGTTAATTTGAATAAATTATTAAAGCACGTGATGAGCGCGACCTTTCAACCAATTGAGGCAGCCACACCCACTGCTGCACACCCACACAGAGCCGATAGAGCTTCCAACTGGATCCCCCCGCATGCCAAGTGCAATTAAGCACGAAAAAACCAATCAAACTGGAAATAAATTGCGCCATAGTTGCAACAGCCGCAGCATGGAAGCTCGCCGAGAGCCCAGGGTTGCCATACGGCGCACATTTTTTCTGCCGAGCCAGCAAAATGCCTCCCTCAAGGTATATTTAACAGAAGGTATGGTAGTAAAAGTCTCCATGAGTCTGTCTCTCGCTGCCTTTGAGCGTTTTCCTGCACCCGCATGTAGATATTTCCGCACTCGCCCAAGTTTAGAAAAGCTGTTCTTTTCGGCTGCCTTTTCCTCTGCTAAATGTATCTTGGCCTCTTTGGGTGTGTATGGCTGTGGGCTTCTTTTTTGGCGTTCGCAGGGGGTTTCCCTTTTTATTGTGGCCGCTGGGCGAAAATTGTTTGCATTGCATTCTCTGCTGATGCATGCGAATCGAGAAATATTTGCAATTTAGCAAAATACACCCGGAAGCGGTCCCGGATTGAAGCTTGAGCTGACGATTGCCATAACGATTGCGATTCGGGCCTGGGCTCCTATTTGTATTTGGTCTTTGCATTTCGCATTCGAGCTCCACTTTCAATCGCCCTCGGAGTGCGTGCAAAATGATGGCAATTAATGTGTTGCTCTCCTCTTGTTGTCTGTTCTTTTTGTATTGCCTTTTTTGTTGTTGTACCTGGAAAACATTGTGGGGAAATGTGATGTCAATAATTTGGAAAAAATGTGTGTATTTTCCTGGAGCGGTTGACAAATATTTTTGCTTGGTAAAGAAATTCAAGCTTTTTTGAATTGAATAAACATTCAATAAGGTAAAGACAGGTCAAGGATTGAATGGCAAAATGGTAGTAATCAGAAAGGAAATGTGAAATAGTTATTTTAAAATTTAATAATAAAGAAGTGGACAGCAAAGTTAATTAAAAAAAACATATCCAGATAAATGAGAGAACGAAAACTTTAGTAGATCGCTGAGCACAAGGGATATGATTTCACCTTAGATGTTTAATCGGATTTGTGCCTTTAGAGCTTCTTAGCACAATGCAATACTCCCCTCATGTAATATAAAGCATTCAAAATGTATAGAACGAGCGGAGTAGAAGAACCCTTATTCACTCCGCCAGCCCGGGATCAATTGTTGAGTGCAGTGATGCAGGAAGGGATAGAATAAAGTATAAATACAATTTGTATGCTTGATGTAATTTCATTTCCACTTATCTTGGTATTTTCTCTGCATTTTCCTTCATGCGATTGATTTATCGTACAGAAAATAATAGGCAGCCAATGTCTGTGCATCCTGCCGAAGGACTCCACCCATATCTATACATCTTTTCTATCCTCTGAGCCTCTGCTTCGGTGGGGTTCAGTTTATATTCAAATGCTTACGCTTAAATGTCAATAATACGTGAAATTGAACTGCCAATTCAATCTCCACAACTACTTCGTTCGCTCCTTGGTTCGAAATCATTTCCATATAAGCGTTTTCCCATCTCTCCTTTATTTATATACATTTATTCCTCTTTTTGTTGAGCAAATTCTTTCTGTTCATATGTGGAAAAAACTATTTGCAAAAGTCTCAAGTGTGTTTGGGGTGGGGTTTGGGATTTTTTTAAACGACGGGCTGCAAATTGTACGCAGATCACATTACACTTGCTCCAGCGGACTGCCTGTGCAAGTGAAACTGCAACTGCAACTGCAACTCCAACTCCTTCTCCTGACTGCCACTAGGAATCGCTTCACATTTGGCTGCACTTCCCTGAGCCAGCCGAAGCCCTTCCTAGTTCTTCCATTCATTCGAAAAATTGAAAGATTTATTTCTTAGTTCTTTACGATTACATTTCCACCGAGCTAATGTGTTCCGATCCAACGGCTACGTCGTGTCGTGGCAGTTTGTCAACTGTCATTGCATCAGACATTGAATGGCAGACCAGTGCGCGGAGGGAGGGTGAGAGCCCAGATACTAGTCGCATTTCGTTGACAACTACATTGCAAATACGGCAAAGTAATCAGTATTGTGTAAATAACAAGTTATGTGTCTGGCTCTGACAAAGCGAGTGGTAAGCGATATGCAATCAGGCGAGGCTAAACCACTGAAAGGGTGCACAGCAACGAATAAATCCTCTGAATATCCGAATAGAGTGCGTGGGGGCGAGTCACAGAAAAGGCATGCTTCCATATTCGTTAAAGTTATAAATGAATTTAATTTTATATAAATAAAATCAGTTAAATATTTTGTAGCATACTTTTCTGCGCTTATCCAAACACCTTTTTTCAGGTGAACCGGAACCGGAAGTGATGCAATAATGTTGCCAAAGGTCAGCTGTTAAGCATCTTAAATTTAAAATGAAATAGAAACAATTTTAACGCTTCGTTTAGTTGACTTTTCAATGGGCAGTTATCGGACTTCTTGACGAAGGCAAACCATCGAAAAGAGGTGAAAATATCCAAGAAAAATTGGTCATCGGGCCAGTTAGCCGCGGGTCTTGTCAACGAGTGGTTGCTGGAAGTGAACAAAAAATAATACAAATATTGCAAATTGGTAACATTTATCCAAAAGAGGTTTCTAGCTAAGAAAAAAATCTATCTATCATCCCTATTGCGGACCCAGATGGATACTACGCCAAAAGACTTTGATTCTTCAAATTTATACAGTTTATTAAGTCATCACAGATCCCTCAAAATGGTTCGAGAAACCCTTCAAAAATTCTTCATAAATGTAGGCAACTGTTGGGAAGTAGAACCGTCTGCGTGGCGCCAGGGAACACACACACAAAATCAATTAAATTGATCGATTTCTTGGAAAACGGGGAGAAAACAGACCTAACAAAACGATGAAATCTTTGCTGAGCTTTCACATTCCGCCCGGTTTTCTTTTACGTTTACCCTGTTTGCCTTCACACGTCGTTTTGTTTGCACAGGGAAACCCCTTTTGTTTTTCCAAGACAATGACCCAGTTCAAGGACGGCTACCCAAAGGCTTCCCTCCCATGTCTCACTTCTATCTGCTCTTTTTCTTTCAGAGGGGTGCTGACCATGAAATGGAAAGTCTGACACTGAGCACAGGACAAGAGCAAAGCTAAGGGGAAAAGTGCCACAAAAGAATTCCGTTTGGACATTGAGTGGAAAACTCTTGAGGGATCCCAGGAAAGCTCAGACATGGAACAAGGTGGACCTATTGAACCAGTGGTGGCAGCTGTAGTGGCTTCTGTGGCAGTGCCTGTGGCACCCCCACCTGTTGCGGCAACCGTTGCCACTCCGGCAGCAATTGCTGCCCCAATAACTCAAACTGCTGCTCCGACTCCAGCGGCACCCATTGCCTCACCGATACCGATTGCTGTCGCTCCAATTATCCCAGTTTCTGCTCCGACGCCAACTGTTGCGTCTCCAACAGCTACTAGCCCTGTTGCAACTCCAGCTGCTTCTCCTGTTGTGCCTCCAGCTGCCATTTCGCCACCGGCTCCTGCCCCAGTCACGCCAGCTGCTGAGCCGCAAGCCGTTGCCCAACCCATTGCTGCCGCGATTTCCGCTACTGAGGCTGCCGTTCCTGTTCCAACGCCTACTGCTCCAGCGGCGGTCATTCCATCAGCCGGGACGGTTCAAAAACCAGCTGTTGGGGACACCGCTACCGCTGCTCCTGTCCAGACTTCAATAGCGACCCCGGAACCAGTCGCTGCTGCTGCTGCTGCTGTTCAGATAGCTCCACCGATTCCAGCACCAGTAGCTGCCGTAATAGAAACGCCACTGGCCATTCCTACTGCCGATGTTCCAGTTGTTAGTCCAGAGCCTGTTTCTGCTGCTGCAGAAATACCAACGGTTGCCCCGGAACCAGTTGTAGTCGCTGTGCAGGCTCCTGCACAGTTTACGGAGCCCGTTCCAGCTACTGCAGACGTACCAGTGCCAGTCCCGGCGGCAGCTATAGCCACTGTAGAAGCACCTTTGCCCACTCCAGCTGCAGTTATCCCTGAAATTCCCGTTGCTACTTCATGCGAGACAATTAAATCGGAACCGACTGCTCCCGTTGCGGATATACCAGCTGTGGAACCAGTTACAGTCGCCGTCGAAGCTCCCGCAGCGATACCAGCTCCAGTTGTTGCTGCCGTCACAGAAACTCCGGCTGCTCCTACTGCTGAAGGAACAGTTTCTGCTGCCGTAGAAACTCCAATTATTGCTGCTTCGACTCCCGTAGAAGTTCCAGCACCGACTTCAGAGCCAATTGTTGCTGCCGTCATAGAAGCTGCTGCACTTCCTGCCGTTCAACCTACAGCATTGATCCTGGAACCGGCACCTTCTGTTGCAGATATACCGCCCGTTCCAGAGCCTGTTATAGCCGTCGTAGAAGCTCCAGCTCCAGCCCCCACTCCACCCGAACCAATCATCGAACCTACTCCAGTCTCTACTGTCAAAACTGCTAAAGCTGCGGATGTACCCACTCTGGAGTCGGTTATTGCAGCTGTAGAAGTTCCCAAGACGATTCCAGAAACATCTACCGTACCTTCAGAGGCACCAGTTGTTGTCCCAGTCGAGATGGAAACGCCAGAAGTTTGTCCAAGTCCAGTGGCAGCCGCGGACACAGTTGCTGCTCCTGAAGAGGTTTCAACTGCATCTCCTGAGCATGTTGCCCAAACTCCCACACCCACTCCGGAAACAGTTCTTGCTTCTACACCAGCTGATCCAGTAACAGTCGAAATTCCACCTGTGGTGCCGGAACCAGCTCCAATTGACACGACTCCAGCGGCAGCTGTAGAACCAGTCATTTCTGCTCCTGCTTCCATTCCTGAGCCGGTAAGTCCCGAAGCGCCAGTAGCTGCAGGTGTTATAGAAGCCCCAGTAGCTGCAGCAGAAGTCATTCCTAGTTCAGAGACTCCACAAGCTGCCGAGCCGAAAGCTCCCACCCCGCAACCTGCTGCAGCTGAAATGTTAGAAACTCCTGCAGCGGCGTCCACCATTGAAGTGCCAGCTGTTGCTGCAGAGATTCCTGCCGAAGTAGAAGTTCCAGCAACCATTTCGGAACCATCTATTGCTGCCGTCATTGAGCAGCCCCCCACTGTTTCTACTGCTGAAACTACAGCAACCGATCAGGAACCAAATGCTGCCGCCATTAAAGAGACTTTAGTCCCAAGTCCTCAACCATTAGTTGCTGATGTAGAAGCGCCCGTACCGGAGCCACTGGATGCGGTAGCTTCCCCTGCTGCCGAAGTACAGATTCCAGAAGCAATTGTTGCTGCTACTCCAGAGGCGACGCCTGCCATCATTGAAGCCCCAGAAGTTATTGAAGTTCCAGCAGCCATATCCACTCCAGAACCAGCAGCTGAGATCCCTAAAACTGTTTCTCCAGAAGTTCCAGCAGCCATCTCCCCTCCAGATTCTGCCGATGCCCCCACCAAGGAAGCAATCGATGCTCCATCCCCTGATCCCAGCTCCGTTCCAGTAGCCAAGATAACGCCCCTTACTGAGGGATCTGCAGACGACAGATGTGTCGCTGTTGGCCATTGCGGCTACCCTAGATGCCATTGGGGAGAAGCTGAAGGACCAAAGAGATCGCAATCAGCAAGTCATGGACAGACTCTGTGAAATCGAAAAAATACTAGGTCCTCCAAAGCAAAACTAACTAAAGCAACTTATTACTACGATCGAGTGAATTATAATAAAGTTTAAAATGATATAAACACGCTCATTTTCGATTATTTTATTTGCCTTTATTTCACTTGCTACCACTCAAGAAATGAACACCAAAATACTCATAAATCAGAGCTGTTCAAGTTGTGTTTTGAATTCATTATTCTCGGCAATATTCATGAAACCAAAACAAATCGACCGTTTGCAGTTTCGGGACACATTTACGAGGTGTGGCCTCCGCCCAGGCAATGGGAAGGCAATTTGCTAGCAAGACAAAATTTTCCACTCCAGAAATTAGCATTTGAGAGGCAGGCAGATGGAAGAGGAGCTCCTTGACGACCCAAGAAAATGTACACGCAAAAGGTGCAAATGAATGAATTATATTCCCAATTTACTTCCCCTGTCAGCATGGAAAAACAATAAATTTGTATTAACGATTGTGATGAGAGCTTCCCACCTTAACCAGCAAGACTTTTGCGCAACTGGTAATTGATATTTCTCAATGAATAATTTAAATTAGGTCACGACAGCGCTTGGAGTCGGAGAAGAAACCTCTACGCCGAAATGAGACCATAAAATTCACTTTGGGGCCAAAAGTCAATCGAGAGTAATAAAACTGTTTGAATGCTGAATATTGGAAGCTTTTATGGCGGCAAATGGAAAATTTGTGTGTGTTATGGGAGAGGAAAAGCTGGGCAAGGCTCAAATAACTACGACGATTATTCTAATCATTTGCATTGTTTTCGGCCTGTCTCTGGAACTTTCTGTTTGTTTTTGGGTACGCCGAGGCAACAGACCCTAGATGCACCCCCCAGTAGCATGTTCGACAGTTCAATCTAAATCTTTAGGCCACTCACACAAGCAAGCACACGGGATGGCAAAAAACTGAATGCCAAAAACCAAATTCCCATTTGACCATTTTGTCTGGAAACAATAAAATGACCTCTCCCACACACGCGCACACATATGTACGAGTATACATATACATACTCGCATTCTCATCCGGATACGGGCATACACGGACGGAGAACAAACATACGGAATCCCATAAATGTTGCAAATGGAGCAACAGAGTGGAGTTGTCATGCAGAGGCGGAATGCCTTCCTCCAGCCATGTTGCTGTCTGGAACAACTACTACACAAGGATTTTCCTTTTTTAGACTTTTTGGCACTTTCCAACAGCCAGAGAGGGAGGTGGAGGTGGAGATAGAGAGCAGACCCCAGTGTCTCTTGTGACTCGGATGAAGGTTACACCATCTAACCGCATTAATGCCAGGACAGTATGAGTAGAACTCTGTATGGGTCCGGGTCTGGTTCCGAGTTTGGGTCCAAATGTGTAATTGTTGCCTAGAGGATTTGCAAAAAGATTTTCACTGTCATTTGAATTGTATTTAAGGCTTCATTTACTGAACTCCCACTCACAGTGTTTACTGCCATAAATGCCTGCTATCAAGTCTGTTTAAATTGAAATTGAAATTGTCTCTGCATGGTAGGAGATGAGTATGAGTAGCTGCTATATATGATATGATAGTTACTCGGAGATAGGGATAGTCACACAATTAAGGAGCATGCGGGTACTGCTGATGATGCTGATGATGATGCTGATGGAACCAGCGTTCGTTGAGCTCTGTCAGCCACAGGAACATTCATTCAACATTTACTTGCCGAGCTGCTCCAGAGTGCCAAATCAATCAGTCTGCAATGCATAAATGACACGGGCAGGTCCGACCAACCTCCACTCTGGGATGTGCGACTCTTGTCCAGCTGTCACACATGACCATTGTGGCTAATGCGGTCCCTTGTTGCAGTTCAACCATCACCAACATTAGAAGCCCTCCGTCCCCAGTCCATGTCCACGTCCGTTTCCCCCATCCCTATCCCTTTCACATTAGCCGGACAGGATGAATGTGTCCGAGGCTGGACCATGATGATGCCTCAGTGCTTGACTGCGTATAAATTTTGAATTAATTGGTGGCTGGTGAACATTTTTGCCTGCAATTTATGCTTTCCTGCCAGCCATCATTCTTCCTTCCGTCAAGCTCTGATTTTGGGGCAATTATTAACTGGCGAAAAGAGCTTGCCCAGAGTTTTTTGTTTGGCCGTAGTCCCTGTAGCACTCTGCTGCAGTTAGCTCCTGGCGCTGGCAGTCCAGAGCTTAATTAAAGTCCTCCACTGTCAAAGCCTCTGGCTGGGACTTCATTGACTTGTCCTTAACTTAATAGCCATTACTTTGCTTCTCTCTCTCCCTCTCTGTCCATCTCTGTCCAATATCTTTTGAGATGCTTTCCCTCTCTATAAGCTGGGGTATCTGTTTTTGAACTTAATTTGATTATCTTTTGTGATCGGAACAAGCGTTTGTCCAATTTAATTCAGCATTAATTCCACTGACCCACTTAAGCAGGCGCATTCTTATTCAATTTTTTATCTCTTGCTTGAGTAGTTTTATAATTTTTTTCCTCAGTCCTTCGCCCGTCTCCATCGGTGATTAATGACTTGTGAAGAAAAAGTGAAAGGTGCGCAAAAGTTATAGAAGGGCAAAAGGGAAAAGAGCATCAGCGAAATTAATTTCCACGGGTACTGCATGATTGAGTTCTATTGAGTGAAATGCAGTGCTAAGCTGATTTCTTTGTTCTTCATCGAGAGTGGCAGGGGCAATTCGTCGATTCTCAATCATGATGTTCTTTACAGTCAACGAAATGGAAAAGAGTGTGGTGATACAACATGGTAAATACAGTCCAAGAAGAATCAAATAAACTCTAAAGTGTTCTGCATAAAATAATATTTCCCCAACTCCCTTAATTTCCCATTAAAGTCAACATAAGTGCAAAAATTATTTCTCCCATATTCATGGAAAAGAACTTCATGTAAAAGTTAAAATATCTGAATGTAAAATTCATACGGGCAACTTTGCTTCTCCTCTCCGGTCAACTGCAAGTGAGAGCTCTCCACAGCAAACAGGATACATAATTGTGTGGAAATACTTTGTTGGATGCCCCTGCCCTGCCACCTCCCCATAGAACCGCATCTAAAATCCATATCGGGGGGCCCCTACTGTAATGAACTGTGGTACATTTTTGTGTTATTGACAAACGATTTTGGAGTTTTCCTTTTAATTATTTTCATTTTGTGCAAAAATAATCAAGTGCGGGCCTCGCCCCATAAAGTGGTGCAAAATGCCAGAAAACAAAGGATTGCACATTTCTATAGATACAAAAATCGTTTTAATTTGCCAATGATTGTGTCTGGCAATGGATTGTTCAATTGTTTAACTGCATAAACAATAAAAATGGTTGCATGCGAGTGTATGTGGTGAGTGCATATGAGAGTGTGTGGGACTATATTAAAAAGTGAATGTGTCTTGTGCATATATACGTACTACAGCCATTGTTTTACAAGCCTTTTGTGGGGGTGGTAGCTGGCATTGGGACTGGGACTGGGACTGGTATGGGCGGCTCCAAAGCCGAAACTGTCAGTGACAGCACAACGTAAGTAATTTCGCGCATATGTTACGATGAGGAGGGAAGAGCGATGAGGACTACCGGAGGGAGTGTGCCCCGGCCAAGCACCATCATCCGGCACCAGCTTTAAAGCCGGAGTTCGGCATATTCATGGCTGCTGCACACGACAAATTGAATTTTATGCAAAAGCTTCCGCTTTTTCTTTCTAATGCACGTTGTCTTGCCACCCAGCTACCCCAGCTTTTCGCCAGCATTTCCCACTATTCCTGCCAGACGCGGCGACATCTATAGCCTGTTCGTCTGCATTATAATTTGGCCTTTTGTTTTCTTACCAGCATTCCCCACTGCTGCTCCCCACTGATGCTCCTCTGTGCTTTTCCGCGACATTCTTGCTCTGGGTTATTCTTGTGGGTTTGCACTTTGCCATTGCATATCCGGCCAAGACGCGCTCTCAATGCGGTTTTCTCTGTTGGCCCACTTTCCTTCGTATTCCTGTCAAGCGCATTCCTTTTTTTTGGCTCGGGCTCCTTTTTTTGTCCAGCATTGTGTGAAGGAGTGCCCTTTCTTCGACGTTAATGAGAAATTATGTTATCGCACTGTTAAGCTGCTCGTAATCGTCTCTCCACCATCCAAACATCTCCCCCTATTAAGGGTTTTAATTGATGCCATTCGAATGATAATAAAAGTCTTGATGGGGGATCTTATTCTATTGGTACGAGTATTTCCCTGATTTAATGCATTTTCAAATCAAAATTCCAAATGAGCAATTTGCATAACTGAATGCTGAATGCTGAATGCATAAAGCATTTTTATTAACAATAGAACAATTTAGGCTTGTAATTGCATTTGTTCTGTTAACCGGGCTAACAAAGTTAACACTAAATGTTGTTTAACAGTCGTGCTCTCTTGCTCTGAGTAACAGTTTTTCTCTTTCTCTGTTACCGCTTAACATGAGGCTGTTGCAGATGCAAAATCAAATATTGCGTATACGCGACGAAGCACAAGCGAAGCAAGTTCGGCTCACGATTCGCTGGACCATGTTAAGGTGTCGTCAGTTGGCTTAGTTTCCTTTTAGCCGGTGCCAAGCGTGGTGCGTTCCTCGCTCAGTAACTTAAAAAAAAACGAAACGGTTAACAAAATTCAAAGATAGAAACTGAAATGGTTAACAAACAAATACAACTAACAATAATAATGGTTCAGAGTTCAAATTTGTTGAAATTTCTTTGTGATTGTGCTTTAATTTAAAACTTGGTTAACAATAATATACTGGTGCACTTTAAAGAAAAACATAACTATAATTATAGATATTTATTTGAGTTTGAAACAAATATTAAAAATGTACAGCCACTTAAAAGTGAAAGACAAATTAAATTAAAATAATTTCTGTGCAACCAAAAACTAAAGTAAACTGAGATAAAACAAACGGTCTACAATATTATGTTATTATTTTTATTTCTATAGTCGGAATAGCCCATTAATAATAATAAATTAATCCGCAAAACAGTTTAACAAACATTTCAGTGGGCTTTAATTTAGTAATCGGTATCATGAGATGAAAACATATTATTTGATCACACATAAGATTGAAAAAT